GATAGATAGATAGATAGATAGATAGATAGATAGATAGATAGATAGATAGATAGATCGTATATATGCGTCGATGCATGGCATAATCAGGCACTAGTCAAATTTTTGGGCATACGAAATTGTTTGTATAATTTTAAGCCTCTTCATTTGCCTTACTTTGGATGAAAAAAATACCCTTTTATCTCGAACAAAAGTTGAGATATTTGCAATAGAAAGAGGTAGGGCCACCAGGTGTCTTGGGTAAAGTTAGCAAGTAGATGCGACCTATCAAAGTTTGGTGACTTCAGAAGATGGTGCGTCCTGGAAACTTACAAATGTACATTTTTTGTAAAGATCCATACGGCAATGTGTTTTGAAGAGGAATTAAAGGCAATGAGCCCAAAACAGAAACAAACAAAGTATTGACAAAAACGTGTTTTATGCCTCCTTCGACACAATTTAGCACTGCCTGCCGTGCCAACCAGAGATGAGAGGGATGCGTCTTGGTAGAAAGACCACAAGATACTCAATAAAAACAGTTCCCATAAAAATCGGGTGAAAAAAAATGATTGTCTATATTTCATTATTCAGCGAAAGATACAGCTAAAGATCTTGTCATTTTGTAAGTGTTTGAGCGCTTAATCAGCAGCTTGCACTGTATGCTTCCTGGGAGGATGAGAATGTTTCTGAGTGTTCTATGGTTTGCTGGGGTACTAATACAGTGTAAAGCACATAGAGCTTGCAGTTGAGCTGCCATATGCGCTGTACAAAGGAGGTGTCTACGTCCTCTAACGTTAGAGAATGTATACAACCTGTCTACCTTCTCTAACGAATAAAAAAAAGTAACAATATTATTAAGCCTGTAGGGCCCTATTTGAACTTCCGGATAAGGCTAGTCTACTTTTCAATCTTTCTTTTTCTTTTTCAAATTGGTTTACATTATGTTGTGTCGTTAGATCTACATCAAATAGGTCCACCAGTCCACTCATTGAATTGGGTTATTTCATGCACTAAATCTAGGCCTACCGTAGACCTAGCGTTGGTATGACTGACTTGACCTTGACCCACGTGATTTAATTTCATGACAGTGATGTCACATCACACACCAAATCGGCAATGTTTTTCCACACATGTGCATTTGGTATCATTTATGGTCTCTCACGTTGTATCACATAGGCCTACCTTGGCGTTGAGGTGAGAATACGAATTCGCATGCAAACTGCAAGCTATCTTTAAATACTAATTGCAGACGGCCTGATCTTCAGTGACTTATTCAAAGTTTTAGGGGGGGGGGCATCAGAGTGCACCTTCCTTGGGTGAAAAGTGTTGGCCTACAACATATTATTATGAAAAGGGGGAGGGGGAAGGTGTCATCTCGACGGAATGATAGAAGGTGTTGGTTGCTTGTTAGAGGTTTAAACGTCGCGACAGCTTTACTTTCGCTAGCATTTTAATTTCGCGAAAGTAAACTTAATAGCTTGCGAAAATAAATTGTAAGCACTGTGGAAGCAGCAATGTCGACTCGTTTCCATGTTAGATAGAGCGAGTGAGCTATTTGTAGGTTCTCTACTAATATTAGAGAATATAGACAAAGTGTCCACGTTCTCTAACGTTAGAGAACGTAGACACTACCCTATACAAATGCTGTCTAGTATTAGATCATTATTTTGACGAGCGCCTGATTTCACCACGATGTAAAACATGTGTTTTGCGCCCCCATCGATACACACCACCTGCGAGATGAGATGTCTAAGAGAGCCGTCAACAAAACCAGACGGGACATGGTCAGAAACAACAAGATCAGAGACATGGTGGGAACAGCACCTGTCCTCCACTACATCCGAACGCAAACAATTAGGTGGTTTGGACATCTCACTCGTATGGCACCTCACCAGCTTGCCAGTAAAGACTACTACAGGAAAGTATCAGGGTACAAGGCAAAAGGAAGACCAAGAAAGACCTGGATCCAGGGTGTGAAGGATACCCTAAGAAAATACAATATCCCACCCAGCCAGGCCATCAAACTTGCTAAAGACAGGAAACTCTTTGTCCCCTCTACGCCCTAGAGGTACAAGAGGACGGATAAAGTAAAGTAAAGTAAGTCTTGACATACACAGAGGCCAGAAAAACGTCCAATGACTTACCTATCAGCCTCATCAGACTACGCTCCGTCATCTTCGTTTCCTGCACCCAGTGGAAGAGCATTTTGAGGTACCGCGGCTTCTTCTGCTCCGACTGTAGCTCCACTTTGCTGTCACAGTCACACACAAACACACACAT